TAATAAAGAATTTATAGAGACACATATGATTACAAGCATGCATACAAGTAACCACAGTCAGAAGATGAGTAACATCTTTAACCACAACTCACTTAAGGACACATATTACAAGCATGCATACAAGTAACCACAGTCAGAAGATGAGTAACATCTTTAACCACAACTCACTGTAAACTCAGTTATACTAAGTTTGTTATATTATGATTGGGATAATGTCACAAATGGATTATTTAAATTATTTTACAGTCTAAGTATATGTTCCAGGTGCAAAATGGAGTTCATAAATGTCAATCAATTGACTTGAATTCATACTGAACTACTTTTGTCTTCAGTATAACTGATGAAAACAATATGTTAATAATTTATAAAATTAGCTTAGGATAATACATTTTGTAATACCAAATCCAATAAAATTGTAATGTAAGAGAATATGAATATTGTTTCAAAATCACATGTTCTTCCTCTACCTGAACTTATTTACTTTCTGAAGTTTGAAATCACAGTCATAGAAGCATGTTTAAAAGATTAAACTATGTTTTCATCACTTAGCAGCATACTTTGAGAATAGTATTCTAAAACCAAGTTTAATAATAATTATTCATCAAGTTCTATTTACTTACTTCTTCAATCTGAGATTTCAGCTGACCAATCTCTGTTTGTAGTGTCTTCTTCTCAACCTGATGGTCTTCTTCCAACACCTTATAAATATTTAAACTCATAAGAATTAGTTAGTCATAAACACAATTCTCTAATGAAACAACTATTTCTTCTAAGTGGAATCTTAAAGTGACTGAAATACCACTTCTATATATTTATATCTTCAAGCCATGACCAGATTAGAACTGCAGTTTTAACATATACCAGCTTAGTTAATTAGATGGACAGTAGTACAGACAGGTTTACCAAACTTCAAGTGGAGATAATTTTTGCCTTATGTTTGTTTTATAAACTGATTTTCATACTTAATTTACAAACAAAAATGTAATAAAATCAACGTATAAACTATCACTCTATAAAGTGGAAACTAATCATAAAACCCACAGCACTATCCTGATACAACCTTTATAATATACCTTAATCTGTGGCTTGTTAATAACACACAGTTCAACTATATCAAATAAAACATTTTCTAATCATGCAAGTGTCTTTTTTTTTTAATTGTCAAATCAAAGTAAAATCAAAGACACAAAGCTTAAATTATCCATTCTTTAAGATCAGTTTCTAATGATTCAATTATATATATTACCACACACCTTTTACACCTATGCTTGTAAGTGAGATCAAGATCAGTTTCTAATCCCACAATGATACATATTACTTTATCCAAAACTACATCCTAATGTGATTTAACTGATTATTATTTTGTTGAATTATAAGATTTACTCATCTTTTGTATGTATTATTTAATTTGGATTCTCAACATTTTTTAGTCTTAATCATTTGTATTCTATCATAAAAAATATTTTAACTTGTGTGTTCATTTTTTCCTTTTCCTCATTTTGATTTGCAGATTATATTTAATTTTCTTTAATGCACTTTTTTCATAATTTCACACATCAGAACTAAAAATATACTCGGCAAAGAAAGCAGCTAATTAAATACTGTTCTTACATATAATGATTAAAGTGCATTGTATCATCTGATGGGTACCTAACTGTTAATAATATTTCTGACTTGACTCTTGAATTCCTTTCATAATTATCAGAAAATGACTTTAAAATCTTTACGAGGTTTTAAACCCCCCAAAGAATACATACAAAGAAAATTTCAATTTTCAAAAAAGTTACGAGAGGGTCCCAAAAATGGGAGATCAAGGCTTTTAGTGGCTCTCAGGTTTGAATGAACCAATTTAATTAAAAAATCAGTATTAACACATAAGGAGCCATCCAGTATAATAATGTAAATTTATATTTTGGAAATTTTCAACAAACTGGATTCCTCATATGGTGAGAGGGGAAAATAAATGGATTTTTGATGGCTCTCAAGACTAGCTGTATGGATTTACTTTCATATGAAAAGTGGCAAAGATATCTAAATGTTTGTTTAAAATACAAATATACTTCTAGGTTTTGGAAAATGTAAAATTTTACTCTCATGTGGGGACCAAGGGGATTTTAGATGCTCTCATGACTGTACAAATCTATTTGATAATTAACAAGCACCGTAAATGATTGTTCAAAGAAAGACATGCACAATGTTTTACATACTTGTTGCTTCACATGAACTTTCAGTGTGATTTAGTACTTGATATTACTTCATATCTTTTGTTTTTAATTACTATTTTCTCTCAATGTATTAGTCATGCAAGACTGCCTAACAATACCTGAATTGTTCTATATTGTTATGATCACCAGTTTATTTATATTTCATTGTCTATATTGTTACCTGTTTGTTATTTGTTTTGACTCCTGATCTTTTGTTCTAATGTTCTCATAGTTCTAACAGTGCTTGTACACTCTACATTCTGATGAAAAACTTAGGCACAAACAGTAAATTTTTGTTCTTAAAAGTGTAAATCACTTGACATTTTTTCATTCAACTTCAACGTTTTTTATCCCCCAGAATTACTGATGGTTTCTCATTGGTTTTGAAAACTTTTTTCTAAAATATCTACGTACCAATTCACTTGTGGGTTCATAACTTTGTTTCTTAAAGGATCCCTAATAACATGAGTCACATGAAAAAAATTTCAACTAAGATACCACCAATACTGCAGTTAATCCCAATAATTATCACTGGAATTTCCTATGCAGTTTACTTAGAAAATGAGAAATTTCATCCTTTCTTTTTGTCAGTTCATTAAAATGAGTTCTATAATAGTTAAAAACACAAAATTAGTCAACATGATGGAGTATGTGGATCCAAAGGTAGTAAATCTTACAGAAACAAAACAGTATATTAACCCCTTCTATGTCAGGCTTTTTTTTATGGAAATGAGCTCAACAAAAAGTTAGGTGTCTTGTTTCACTTTTTGACAGTTTACACATATATATTAATAAAAAAAAAAGATATTTTATGATCTGTTATTGTGTTAATGCACAAAATATACTTGATAAATATATGTTACATATTGGGATTTATTCATAATATATATTATTTCAATGAAACCACAGTAAAGAACAGGAATGCTTTTCTCCAGTGTTTCAGATATATAATTCAGAATAACTCTGATAGAGATCTGCACAAACAGTATGTCCAATGCCTTTTGGTGAGTACCGACTTAATCCATGGTATCATCAAAGAAATTTGGGCAAATAATTAAAAATACAGCGAGAAATAGCTTGCCCAAATTAACTCGGACAAATATTTTTGAAACATGGAAGACACCTGAATTATCTTAGGCAAGCCACAGAAGGGTTAATTGTTAATTTGTTACATATTTTAAGAGGTATGTTTTCTACAAAACAGTGCAAGCAAGTTTCTTCTCTTAACTATTTCATGTAAGCTAATAACTTCAACTTATTGAAAGGAGTTTACTTGTATTTTTATTTTCTAAATCACATTATAATGGATTGACTATTACTGAATTAGATTGAATATTTATAACCATCCTTCCAAATATAAACACTTTTTAAGTTGTTAATAACAGGAACTATCATAAAAGTAACTTAATTGTCAATCTGATGACCTTTTCATAAGATATAGCAAAATTAGTTTGCATAATTAGCTTTTATTCTTAGTTGAAAATTTTGACTGAACTTACAGTTTTTCATTTTATCATTATTTCAACAGTGGATTATTTTTCTAAGTTATGTAAGCATCCATCACATCCAAACAATATCTGATAACCAAAGCAAAGAGAGATAGGTTAACGAATTTGTCACTTTTACCCTTCAAAATAATTTCTGCATTTATGTTAATCAAAATAAAGCACTTCATACTTCCCCAAGGTGTTTTTATAAATAGAATCTTATAACAATATGTTTCAAAATTTTGTACTCAAATAATTACTTCTAGATTTCTTTAAAATTTTGTAATATTTATAGCTGAAAGCACAGTGTGAATTCTGAAACCCATCACTGGCTCAAACCTTGGACCTTTTGACTCACAGTCAAGCATAAAAACTTAACCTTTTACAGAAAATTATTTCAAAAATGTAAAAAAAAATTCTTTTCAGTGAATTATGAAAATTATGGAGAAATAGATATGCTCACATTAATTGTAATTAACTATTTTGTAGTATAAAATGACAACTTTAAGTAAAATGTAGAATAAGAAAATTAAGCTGTCATTGTTATCCACTTATAATTTGTTTTAACTTTAATATATATAACTGAATTCCTGAAATAGAACTGTTATAGCATTGATTTTTTGAAACAAATACTGTGTTATTTTTAAATTATGTTATATAAAGACACTTTCAATTCTAATTCTTGTGTGAAAAAACTTCAGTTTTGATGAAATAGAAGATTTAGTTTGATACTAATTCACTTGATTTTTTGTAGCTCTTAGAATATGATCTCTCTGGTTACAACTAATTGATCAGTATATATTTTATTAGAAATGTTTAGACTATAAGTTCAGTCAACAACCAAGAATAATTTACTTATTTACTAAAAGTTTCAAATGTTCAAGTATCCAATAATAGAAGTTGTCTATGATTGTTACAATGAAATTTAACAAATTATTCAACTTTGTTGGTTACCATGGTAAAGCTAGAAAAGAACCAGTCATGAGCTTATTTTCTCACCATTTTTTGCCCTTCAAAAAAAGACACTAGTGTTGAAGTAGAAAATACAATACCTGGTGGTAAATAAAAGGCAAATTTTAACATTTTACTCAACAGGTACATATATACTCAAGTAATAACAGAAAGTATATGGGAGACATTCTGGCCTACTGTACCAACATTATCTGTTTCAACATGTTAACTTAAACAAGAAACAAAATGTCATAAACCTGAAGTTTATCTTTCAATCTATTTGTTTCTTCTTGAGCTTGTTGATACTTGGACAAATTCTGTTTCTTTTCTTCTTCTAATCTTCTTATAATTGCTTCAGAAGCGAATGACTGATTTGGTGATTTAGCTGATTTCACCAGTTCATCCTGCAAGTTTAATGCTTCCTGTTTGGCCTTTAATAAAAGAAAACATTGAAGCACATTTATATAATATTTAACACCATGAAAATGTGTTTTAACAAAATACTGCCATTGCAAACAGTTGGATTCCTTCCTATTGAACACATTTCATTATTAATAATCTACTTCACTCTTTTTGATTTACAAGTCTTATTATTAAAATTCTTCTTCACCCTCTGAATTACAAGTTTAATTAATTATACTTCTCTTAAACATTAGTATTACACCAATTATATTTTAAATCCTATATTCTTTAATTAGTTCCTTATGTTTTTTCAAGAAGTGTGTACATAAATTCTTCTGTGAATCCAATTTAGCTGTTTACTAAGCTACTTTCTCCTATTGCTTAAATTATAAATACAAAGTTACTTTGGTTTTTGATACTGCACTGCCATTTTAAAATGCTACTTCTCCTATTGCTTTACATCAAAGTACAAAATATTTATCTCCAGCAGTTGTATTTCTACTTTATCTGATGTTACACTTTATTTCAAAATGAAACTTGTTATACTGGCATATCATCACTTTACAAAACTATTACCTACTGCTGCTCTCTAACCACTTTACATGCTACTTTGTCCTACTGTTATAATGTTACTTTATATTGCTACTCTATCCTGCTATTGTTATTTCCTCCTCCTGCTGTATGACCACTTTACAGTGCTACTTTGTCCTACTGTTATAATGTTACTTTATACTGCTACTCTCTCCTGCTGTTATGTGACCACTTTACAGTGCTACTTTGTCCTACTGTTATAATGTTACTTTATACTGCTACTCTATCCTGCTATTGTTATTTCCTCCTGCTGCTGTATGACCACTTTACAGTGCTACTTTGTCCTACTGTTATAATGTTACTTTATACTGCTACTCTCTCCTGCTGCTATGTGACCACTTTACAGTGCCACTTTGTCCTACTGTTATGATGTTACTTTATACTGCTACTCTCTCCTGCTGCTATGTGACCACTTTACAGTGCTACTTTGTCCTACTGTTATGATGTTACTTTATATTGCTACTCTATCCTGCTATTGTTATTTTCTCCTGCTGCTGTATGACCACTTGACAGTGCTACTTTGTTCTACTGTTATGATTTTACATTGTAGTATAGCTGGGTGATTAGTGAAATTTTCTAATCATTAGGATCATTAATCAATTACATTCAACTAATCAATTATTCCATTGTATTTCTCAAACTGAAAAATAAAATATTGTTTTCTTTTTTCACTGTTGTTATTTTAAAGATAATCTCAGCATTTTCTACTTGGAGAATCACTGATGTTGAGATTACAATGCAATCACCATTTTGTTTGTTTTTTAAGTATGCAATAATCCCCCACTAATCCTGTGTAAATCAAATAAATAATGAAAACATGTTTTACTATGACTGATAATGGTAATATTTTTTTAATCTAAAATATAACATTAATGAAAACATGTTTTACTATGACTTATAATGGTAATATTTTTTTATCTAAAAATATAACATTAATGAAAACATGTTTTACTATGACTTATAATGGTAATATTTTTTTAATCTAAAATATAACATTAATGAAAACATGTTTTACTATGACTTATAATGGTAATATTTTTTTTATCTAGAAGAAAACATTAAAGAACAACAACACATTCAAAGCCAACTCATACATTCAAATATTTATCAAGCTTTCCTTCAAACTCCCTTAAATTAACTGCATCCATCTCACCTGAAGGTAACCCATTCAAAATAAAAACCACCCTGTTATAAAAATAAAGCTGTTTTAGCTGAAGATGACTTCTCTCCAGCCAAAATTTACATATGGGTCCCCTAGTCTTACCCTTCTCACCATTAACTAAGAAAAAGATATTGCATAAAATATAAATAAATAAAATTAAAATACGTGAAAATAAAACTATATTTATTGTACTTTTAGAGAAATTAGACATGGGGAGTCTGTAAACCTAAAATTAAAGTAATGTTGGCATAAGTTAAAAAATGCATTGTTTTCTATTAACTTGCCAATCATTCACTAGTGCTTGACTTATGTGACTATTTCCAAAACGTACCATTTGTTATACTAATAGTATAGTATGAATGAGGTTCATTTCGGGTATTGTGAATGCTAATAGGTAGTGGTGACTAACTGTATATGTTTATATATAACCTGGTGTTGGTAACTCAGACAATGTCAAAGAGTTTTCAGCTGGTTGATCCACAACAGCCTGGTCCTTCAACTGGACCAAGTGCATTCTTTGTCAACTAATCATACTCAAAGCTTTACAATGTCCAAATGGCTCAAAGCACTATGATATTGGGGCTGGTCAGGGTTATTCTACCCTTTCATCAAGTCTAGTGTGATTCCATGAGTTAGATGAGCTGCCTATTCCAATAGACATTCAATGAATGGATGAAGGGAATGGTGTAGAAGCCACTCTAATGGAAAACAAGGAAAAATGGCACAAATCCTACCATACAAAACACCACAAAACTTCAATGAGCACTGAATAGGAAATCAGCCCAAATAGGCTGTGATCTTTGTTCAACAACATCCAAGAACTACACTCATCAAACCAGGAAAAATAATATAAGGACATCTGCTTTTTATGCAAGAATGTGTCGACAACTGGACCTCTTCGTGAAGCATCGACATTCTGAGTGGACTCTCATGTTAAAAAATGTGCATTGGAATTACAAGATGAGCATCTACTTGCAAAATTAAGTTTAGGGGACATGGTAGTACAAGATGCAAAATATCACCTGATGGGGATGTGGCTGTACTCAAATGCATCACCATCCTACTGCACGACAGAACAAGCAATAAAGTAAACACAGAAGAAGTTTGACAAGAATTGCTCACTATGAAAAGACAGACTTTAACATGCCTCCCCCTAACAACTGTTGTTGGACTGATCCATTGAACTGGAGACCAAAGTGGACTACTTTGCCTGAAGCCAGCACTGTATCAAGAGAACTCATTTGCTGCTGTTGCAAGAAAGGTTTCAGAGGTTGCTGCAACTGCAAGAAAGCAGCATTAAAATACATGGCGGGCAAGATTGTAACCTGTAAGTTGCATGGCATCACAGCCAATGACTGTTAAAGTTTACAATTTCATATTTTGCTGACTCAGCACTTTTATAGTGACGTTTCGGATATATATTGTTTGTTGTTTTTATCATAAGCTCATGTTTTTCAATGATATATTTGTGTATGGCAATATTTAAGTGCATTTATTTAGCAACATAATACCAATTTTTCAATGTCATCCAAACTTTTGGTAGCTATTTTTTAAAATGGTCACCAAAGGTAATATTGGCCTTTTTCGGGATGGCTCCATTTCTAAAAATATTCTCTGTGCCATGGTCTACAACTATGCTAAATTTCATGCTTATACATATAAACTCATAATTCTTTTATTATGTTGCACACATCTGCTAGACTATTGTACATGAAAATGTATCATACATGCAATGTAGAACAAAACTTGTAACAAACTGAAAATACAATTATTGGTGTTACACACATTTCTCCCTACAAATTCCCCCAACATTTCACTTCTAAAACTACTTAATTTTTATTGATCAAAATGAACACCACTTCCTGAAATTGATTTTAAATCAGAAAAATATATAACAGTGACTAATGAGATTACTACTTAGTTCTTGAGACTAAGTTTACAATGTTATATGAAACACAACAATATCAAGCTAATTGATCACATAGTGGTGAACAGAATGCACACAAACTAAATTTAAATGATCAAACACATGGACTCTTTATATGCACCTTCACTGTACAGAGAGACAAGCCCCCAGTGGCACAGCAGTATATGTCTGCTGACTTACAACGCTAGAATCCGGGTTTCGATACCCGTGGTGGGCAGAGCACAGATAGCCCATTGTGTAGCTTTGTGCTTAAATACAAACAAACAGAGAGACAATAAAATTAATACCATGTTCTACTTGTTAAAGATAGAGAAGAATAAGATTACCATGGGTATTAAATTAGTCATTATTTTGTATGCAACAACATTCTATTGCAAAGTGAGCCAACATTTTTTTATTTTAAATCATCAAAATGCAAATTCCATACATTTCTATCCTTTTTACATATTTATTTGCCATTGCATGTTAGACCAAAAAAAATGTTTGTTGTAATTATAATGCAGGAAAAATTGTGGTATGTAAGCTAAATTTTTTGTATTAAACATTATTACACTTACTGTTACATACCATGATCAAAATAGAGTTTTTCATGTATTCTTGTCAGATCAAGAATTAAGTTACTTGTAGTATTTTGTTAGTTTTGTATCTATTCTTTTAGCAAATATTTACTATATTTTTTCCCCTTCTTATATTGTAGTTACTTTCCGTAAGGTCTATGAGTTACAGTCTGAACTCCTTGTTCCAAATACACAGTTGCCCAATTAGACTGCCAAATGAAATACACCAGGAAAATGGTAATTATAGTTATTTTTATATGCATCATGTCAAATCCACTTCTTAGTAATGTTTAACAATTCTTTAAAGAATTACTGTTCATTAGCATACACTATACATTACAGAGGTGTCACTAGGTGCTTAAAAGAATCAGTCTTGAGCCCATAGGCACAGGAATTTTTCACATTTCAGTATGATATTGATCATGGCTTTCTATTCTGATTTTTCAAGACACCAATTGAGAATTCAGGACATTGTCAAATCAAATTGGGGTAAGGGCTACTTGTGCCAGTGCTTAGCAACACTTCTGAGATATTATATACATCAGTTGCTTGTTGTTGATACGAACTACAAAAACTCAAATTAATGAAATAATAATTTTTAAATTAACTAAACCAAATTAATAATATAAAGATTTTAATGTGTCAATATTTCTTTCAAAGTATTAATGATATATATACTTTTAATATGTTAATATTATCTACATGTAGAGCTTTTTGAATTGTATGTATACTTTTAACATGTTAATATTATCTACATGTAGAGCTTTTTGAATTGTATTTTTACTTTTAACA